AAAGCATTTGGGACAGATGACCAAACAGAAATCTGTAAGATGGTAAGTTTCACACACTGCTTTATAAAACATGTGAGAAGATCTAGTCACGCAGTTAGGTCAGTTTCTACTGAAGGGTGTTTGTAGAATGCTGCTATAGGTGAAAGTGGTATTTAAGAAATGGGTAAAAAGGAGCAGGAGCTGTGTTTTATAGTTTTAAATTTGGCATATGCATGTGGCTGGAAAGAATTCTGTCTAAGACACAACTTTGCATGCACCAATGTGTCTGGACACAGCCAGGCACAGTGAAGAGTTTTTCACAAAAGATAAGTTATTAAGAATGCAGAGAAACCAAGGGGACAGCTGTTTAACTTTGGAGAGTTCACTTAGGTGTTAGTGACAGATCTCATTTCTTGGACCTTACTCACGGGATATGAACTGTGAACTTGCTGTGGGTGATGAAATTTCAGTAAATCTCTTGAGTCAGCATTGCCGTGGCAGCCAGGAGGGACATTCCTCTCCTGTGTTTCTGTGGTGAGGTTTTTTTGTCTGAAGCCTTTCCAGTGCTGTGTGTTGTAATGATTCACATTATTAATTTGGTTATTGTTTGCTGCATTTCAAGTCTCACCCAACCTATCAAGCAGCTGTCAAACTTAACAAAGTTACTCGACTTGTCACTCTTCAAATGCACGATGTTCATTACCCAATCTCTGTGTTTTGCAGATTTTATCCAAAGGGGAGCTGCAGGTGTCGGACAAGGAGCGGCACACCCAGCTGGAGCAGATGTTCCGGGACATCGCCACCATCGTGGCTGACAAGTGCGTGAACCCCGAGACAAAGCGGCCCTACACGGTGATCCTGATCGAAAGGGCCATGAAGGACATTCACTACTCTGTCAAACCCAACAAGAGCACGAAGCAGCAGGTGAGACCAGCTCCTGCTCTGGGGTGGTGCTGCCCAGTGTAATTCCTCAGCTCTCAGCCACGGAGGGATCAGCAGAGCCCCAGGATCTGAAGCCTGCACAGGGATTACTGTAGCCATCTGGTGCTGCAGAGAAGCAGCTCCTGAAACTCAGGCAATTTGTTTGCTGAGATTTCAGGGAAGGAAGGAAGGAAGAAAGAAAGGAAAAAAACCAACAGTGATACACTTAGAATAGAAATAAAAGGTTTATGATTTATGCTCATTGAGGTGGTATATCAGGTTTACATGTGGGCCACATGGGTTTGTGGTGTTCTGCAGTATAGCTATTTAATTTTATTTCAGACAGCTTTTAAGTGTTCAAAATGATCACAAACAACGGTTTCAAACAAGAAGTCTGCCTTTTCTTGTTAATCTGTCAAAAGAGCATGATAGCAACCTCCCTGCAGCAGAGTGGCAGTGACCAGAACTGAGGGATGGCTCTGAAGCTGGGGAAAAGGTTCGAGATTTGGGTGCTGGGTTTTAAGCAGGTCTGTAAATGCTCTTTTTTTTGTCCAACAGGCCCTGGAAGTGATCAGGCAGCTGAAGGAGACCATGCAGATTGAACGTGCTCACATGAGGCTGAGGTTTATCCTGCCAGCAAAGGAGGGCAAGAAGCTGAAAGAGAAGCTCAAGCCACTGATTAAAGTTACTGAGAGTGAAGATTTCCAGGAACAGCTGGAAATTGTAAGCAAAAAGCAGTCCCTGGGGTTCAGGTTTGATTTGAACTACACATACGTATTTTACTGGGAGATTAGGTCATGGATGGAAGTTGTTTAGATAAACTGCAGGCTTTCCAGAGATCCTGAATCAGAGCTGCAGTTGGGAATTTTGAATTTCACACAATCCTAGTGATGTGGGCATGAAGCAGCCTTTGGTATCCAGAGATTGCTGCTCCAAGCTGAGGAGTGCACAGTGCAGTTCCTCTTAGCAGTAACCATCCTGCAACACTGATAAGATTTTCTCCTATGTGGAATGTTACTATTATTTATTTGGTGGCTTGGGTTGGGATTTTAAGAGTGGTTAATTTTTTTTTAAGAAGTTGGTGTGAGGTAAAGCAAAATTTGGTATTAAAATCTTCATATGAGCAGATTAGAATCCAGCAATCCCAACTGGCAGAAGCCATGTCCAGCATGGGGAGCTGGAACTGTAGAGCTCTGTGGAAAGATTGTTGCCATACAGAGCTGGTGAACTCTTCAGAGTCCTCCTCAGAAACTAACCAAGATTGTTTTAATGAGAGTGAATGTTAGGCCTTGGGCTGGGGCTGATGGAATTCCAACATTCTTGGCTGACTGATGAAATGTGGAACATTCCAGGTGTGCCTTATCGACCCAGGCTGCTTCAGGGAGATCGACGAGCTGATCCGCAGCGAGACCAAGGGAAAAGGATCCCTGGAAGTGCTCAGTCTGAAGGATGTGGAGGAAGGAGATGAAAAGCTTGAATAACAAAACCTTCCTGCAGCAGATCTGCTTCAACAGCCTCCCTGCAGTGACTGCTGTAGCCACTCTTCTGTTAGGCCTTCATGGTTTTTTCCAATCTCCTGCTGCCAAATATTTCCTGATACTAATCCTTTGGGATTTTTCCATGCAGTGTGGGTTGGGTTTTTTTTATGGTTTTACACTTGCTTGGTTTACAGATGTCTTTGCCCGTAAGAAGATTTTGTGTCAGAGTTGCACTAATGAGGACTCAGTTAGGGTGTGGTAGGAGGTTACTCTGGCTGTGCTTTAGTTTCAGGGTTGCTGCTGAAGAGTGTTGGAGTGATTTGGTGCCAATTGTTTGTACCTTCAGGTTGTCAGTGTTGAGTGGGAGATTGCACTGGTCACCCAGGAGTGGCTTTGTATGTGAGGAGAGGGACCTTGAGAAAAGAGAGCTGCATTTTCACTTCTAAACAGGTGCAAAGTGTGGATCATGTCTAAAAGTCATTCTCTTGGCAGCATGAAAACTGACTTAGGCTTCCATAATTGGCTGCTTGATAATTAAAAGTACTTCAAAGGACCATTCATAAAGAATTCCTTCACTGGCTATAACAGCACTTGCTGACATAGAGATGATGTTCTCCAAATAACTTATTTGTAGAATATATTTAGCTACATTAGTAAAAACAAATTATCATCTATTTATATATTAGAGATACAGAAATAAATAAGATACTTATTTTTGTTAACAGTAGATGAGATATCCCTGTGGCAAATGCTTTTGTAGGAGGAGGGAGTAGCCTGTGCTTGGGAGCTGCTGCTTTCACATGATAAAATGAATCTCAAACAGGCAGTGGTGGCCTCTGGCCATGGAGCCAGACAGGCTTTTGTTGGACAGTAATTCCCAGCAGGAATTGTTTGTGTGTGCCCCTTTGCTTTCTAGTGCAACAGAACAATTCTGGCAGCTGTCCTTTATCCTCTGTCCTTTTTTTTTGCTGCTCTCTAATCCATGCACGGAATTTCCAGCCAGCTCCTGAGGCATGGGATATAGTTCTTGCTAATTCTGTTAAATCTTGCTGCAGCTGTGTTAAACAAATGATTTGAAGTTAGACTAGGGTATTTCAAATAAAAGGGGAAGAGAGGACAACAACGGGGGAAGGAGATACTAAAAATACAAACCAGCAGGCAAAGCAGATATGGTTCAGTGACTAAAAGCTAAATCAGCAGGAATTTGAGGAGCCTGTAACATGCCATTCCTGTTTCCATCACATGGCAGGCAGCAGGTGAGGAGCTGTGGGCCAGCCAGGGAGATCTTTCCCAGGTGAGCACGCTGCTCTTTGGTGGCTGTTGCCTTCACAAGACTCCCAGGATGTGTCAGTTAAACAGAGCTGGCTTTGTGCTGCTGACCTTTCCTCTGCACCTTTAACTCGTGGTGAATTTCCTGCAGTTCCATCAGGGAGACTGGAAATGGGCTGGAGGAGGGGAGGTTTGGCTGCAGGGCTGGAGCCTCAGTCCAGGGCTGCCCCTTGGGAGTGGATTTCTGCAGAGCCGATGTGTGTGCACTCGTGCAAGGCCAGGATCAATTCTTTCAGCAGTATTTTGGGAGGATCTGCCTCTCTAGAGCCCGAGTTTTGCTGAGGGCAGGTGAAACAGAGATTCTTGAGCCACTTTATCCATTTTAAAATGCTTTTGTGTGTTCCCAGGGGTTTGAGAGCTGCCTGGGAAGCGCAGGGGTGAGGTGACTGGATGTGCCATGCGGCCAGGGCTCGGTGAGGGAGCTCTGTGTGCACAGGCAGCTCCCCTGGTACCATCCTGGGCTGCTGCCTTCACCTGCCCCTCTCAGCCTTGCTTTGGGAAGCATTGAGGATGATCATGTTGATATTTAGCTTGTCACTGGCAATTAGCACTAACATGCAATTCACAAATACGCAAATGAGATGCTGAGCAAGAGCCCCAGAGGATGCTGTGTCAGTAATACCTGATTTCACAATGCTTTCATTTCTTGGTTTGCTGTGGTTAACACCTTGAGCACAACAGGATGGCAGCAGGTTAAAGCTCTGGACTTCCAGAACCTGAATCTAAGCTGATTCATGAGCTGGGTGCTAGGAAGGCAATTTCTTTATAAAGTCTTTTTCTGCAAATGCAAACATTAAGGATTTTCTCTGGTAGAGGGAGCTTGAGTTTATTTCTGGACAAGTAATGATACGTGCTGGCATTTCTTGTTATGTTTGTAGTTCAGCAAGAACGTATGGTGAGCATCAGAATAAAGCTCAGGATTGGTAACTGTTTTGTGTTTGCCCATTCCAACGAGACCATAACTCCCTGCACAACGCTTTCCTGGCTAATAAACTGAATTTCCAAATAGCTGGGCATTTCCAGGAGAGCATTGCTGGTGTGTTTGGGTGCACATGCACAAGTATTTGCCCTGAAATTGTCCTGTTCCTGGTGGGACTCAGAGTGGTCCCTGACAGCTGCCACTGCCACAGTGGAAGACAAAGCTGGAATGCTCCTCTGCCCCCCTCCTAGAGCTCATTAATCAGTTGTTAATGAAGCTGTTCCCTGCAGAAGTGTGGCTGGCCATGGCTGAGCAGTTGTGTGTGGCTGGTGGCAGTTGGCAGTGCCGTGGTGACAGTTCCACGGTGGAACCCTGCGCTCACAGCCCCGTGGCACCTCCCCGGGGCAGCAGGGCCTGGGCTGCTCTCCAGAGGGATCTGGGCATGGTGGGCCGAGGGATGGAGGCCCCCGGCAGCACTCGGGGCCCCAAGGCCGACCTGAGCCAGCGCAGCCAGGAGATGCGTGTCCTCGTGGACCTGCAAGGTGCTGCCTCGGGCTGCTCGGGGACAGGGGGGTCACAGCCCCCTCCTCCCCTGCGCTGCCATGGGCTGCCTGATGTCCCCCAGAGCAAGGCAGGAAGATTTTCAGTCAGTCCTGCGAGGAGACGCTCCGTCAGAACAGGGAGCTGCTCCCCAGCCTGCAGACGGCTTTGCAAGAGGATTCCAGCGTCCTGAAATTTGTCCTGAAGGTACCAGCAAGTACCTCCTGCTGCAGCCCTGCCTGCTGCCAGCCCTGCACCCCCAGCTCCTCCAGGAGCTCAAGGGTGTGCCATTGCCAGGCTGACAGTGCCCATGTCTGTCCCTCCCCTGCCCACAGTACAACAAACTGCCCGTTAAGGATGATTTTGGAGAGGGCCGGGAGCTCGTTTCAGCCACTGAGAGCCTGGAGGTAACAGCAGGGCTGGGAGCAGCAGCTGCTGGCAGGGGCTGGGCTCTGGGGACACTGGGAAGAGCAGTGCATGGCTGAGGGACATGGGGCCAGCACCAGGACACGGGGCTGTGTGGGGACATGGGGTGTTCACATCTGGTCCTGTGGGTCCCCTCCTGCCATGGGACCCATCCACGCAGCCCCTTTGTCCCACCAGACCCCACGTGTCCCTGGCACTGCCCGGGCTCCTACAGTGTCCAGTCACATCCCTGGCAGAGAGAGGCTGTCCCTGCCCTTCACTGCCTGTCCCAAGGTTGTGTCCTGGTTATAAACCCATGGAGATTGAGCCTCTGTGCCCACGGAGCTGCCTTTGCCCAGAGGCCTCTTGGACAGAGCAGTGTGGCCGCTCTCTGACAACATCCCCATCTGAGCCCTGATGGATTTTATTGATCCCCAGCCCTGCTCCCTGCTATGCAGAGCCCCTAAGCCCAGCCCAGCCCTGCCATCAGCAGTTCCCACCTCTGCCTTACCCCAGCCAGCCCCCAGAGCAAAGCTCTCCCAGACCCCCTCCTGTCAAACCAGTGACAGCATCCTGCAGTGTCTCAGTGTCCCCAGCTCTGCCTTGTGGGGTTTTCTGGGCAGCACCCCCTTCTCCTGCAGCATCCAGCCTGGGACATGGTCTCATGCCCATCCAGGTGGCCATAAAGAAGATGGAGGCCAAAGTCCATGAGCAGGTGAAGGTATGTGACGTGCTGCTGCACCAGCTGAAGCAGTGGAGCCAGGCCAGGGATGAGCGCCAGAGGCGCCTGCAGGAGCTGCAGGAAGCTGAGACAGATCCCAAGTGGCAAGAGCCACAGCTGCAGGTAGCCAGGAGCCCTTCCTGGTGTGCCAACAGCCATGGGAGGCTTTAACCCAGCCCCTGCACCCCCAGCTGGGCACTGGGCATGGCACACGTAGTGTCACACACTTCGTGTCTGCCCCAGACCATTCGCCAGCTGGGCAATGACATCGAGAAGATGCTCATGAAAATCCAGAGTGGGGAGATCATGACCAAGCTGTACCTGCAGCTGCAGGAGGTCCTGAGGAGGGTGAGCTCCTCCTCACTGCTCTGCTGTCTCACCTGCTCTCCCTGCAAAGGAGCAGGGTGCCCAAGGGACTGTGTCCCTGCTGGTCCCCTCTGCCCTGTCCTGGACCCCGGTGGGTGACGTGCTGTGGCTCCCTGTGCCAGGAGCTGGTGTACCTGCCTCAATACCTGGACCTCCTGTGTGGCATGACTGTGATGTACCACGAGGAGCTCACGGCCCGGAGTAGCCTCAAAGCCAACGATGCCATCAGGGTGAGATAATCTGGGCCCTTTCCCACCCTCCAGTGCCCACAGGCTGAGAGCCTTCCTTCAGCAAGGGGCAAGAGATGGAGCTGAGCTTGCCCACAGCACCCAGAGGTTTCCATAGGTTTTCCCAGGTCTCTCTCTTGTCCCCTGGGGCTGGGGTCAGCCTGTCTGAAGTACCAGCCATGGCAAAGACAGTGTGTCCCACACCCCAGCCCACCTTGCCAAGCTTCCTTCACAGCCGGTTTGCACGGACTGGGGTCACTTTTTACACCAAGCATCAAATCACCAATCTCAAATCACAGATTCATGGAATGGTTTGGGTTAGCAGGGACCTTAAAGCTCATTTCATTCCAGCCCCCTTCCATGGGCAGGGACACCTTCCTCTCTCCCAGGCTGCACCAAGCCCTGTCCAACCTGATCTTGGACATTTGCAGGGATCCAGGGGCAGCCCCAGCTGCTCTGGGCACCCTGAGCCAGGGTGTCACCACCCTCACAGGGAAGAATTTCTTCCTTTTCTCAATCTAAACCAATACTTGAACCTAATAACCAATCTGTAGAAAGCTCCAAGTGACTTTGGCAGCAACTCCTCCCTTCTCTGTTGTGCTCCAGAAACTCATGGCCGAGGCAGGACCACAGGTCCGTGTGGAGAAACATCTCAGGGACCAGTCCCTGGCTGAGCAGAGGAAGCACATCGAGAGCCTGCGGCGCCAGGAGGAGAGCGAAAGGCAGCAGAGGCAGGTGGGCTGT